TTCATATTACTGCATCAGTATCACTACGAAACCCACACTAGTGTACAACGTAGAACAAGTTCCATTGAGATTAAAATGATTGGAAAAAACCTGAGTGTATTCATGAAGAATATCTCTGTGCCTTGCAAGCTTTTGAGTGACAGAGGTAGTAGGTGCAGCAGAGGCAGCACATCTACTCATGGAATCATTAATGTCCAACAACTTCTCTAGCGAAGCTTGAATCTCAATCTCCATTGACTTCCATGATCCTCCAGGTGACCCAGCCTCAACACCACCATACCCTAACACACACAACATTACAACTAGAAATATCATAATCTGATTCTTGAAAGTGCTGAAACCTAAACACTTGGATACTATTATGATCCGTTCTCTAAAATCACACAGCAAGCATTGTGAATCAGTGAAGAGATCATATAACGTACCGCCTTGATTGAATCTGGCGCCGAGCTTAGCGTAAGAGGAGAGCTTGACGTCGAGATCGCCTTCGATTTTACGAGCTTCTCTCCGGAGCTCCTCCCAGCCAGATTCCTGGAGATCCAGGCTCGCTTCTGTCATCTCCGATCTTCCTCAGTTTCAGATCCGATCACCTTCTTCTCTCTTCTCACATAACTAACTAGTGAGAGACCCGGAGACTCTAAGGGAAAAGGAAGGATCCGATTTCCAAGTTGGAGTACCCGGACCCGTTATAATTACGAATTTACCACCCCCACTCCATCAATTCTGACAGTGGGCTTGGGCTTTATTCTCTTTTAGTTTATATTTGGGCTTTATTTCTCTTTCAGCCTTTAGTCTTGGAATAAAAACTGATGGTCACGTTTGTATTTCCTATCCTAATTTATATTTACCCAGTAGTCCTAGATCATTTGACATCCCTTTATTTGACATCCTTTATTATTAAAGGAGAAGCAGAATAAAAAAATAACATTTAAAAGGTAAATTATTTACATTTATGTGATTTTGCTTATGTGTCGCATTGTCAAGCATCCTCAACCATCTATTAGAAATATCCTTAAAATACTAGATTTATTACGATCACTACCATTGGTATGTCTATTGTCAAGTGCATTAAGTTTTATATCATTTTGGAGAAAGTGTATCTAGCATAATTGAAACCGACGTATGGTGGACTGCTTAGAAGTACCTGCATAAAACAAATGTTGAGCATGAGAGCTATGGAAAGTTAGAATTTTGCTCCGATGTATACACGTTACATAAGGGGTTACGGATCCTCATTTGTCTAAGTTTTGTATATGTATGCTTCAGTATTTTATATTGAACTGTTTAAACATTATATACTAAGTTTAAATAAAATTTTCTGATCAAAACATATTATTGTAAAACCACTATTGTAAAGTTGGCCAACTTTTGTAAATTGTTAATTAACATACATGCTTTTTGATTATTACAACAAATAATAGAATGTGATTTTTTTTATAATACTGGCAGTTTAATAGTACAATCTTGGAAGAAACCGGTACAAAAGAAAATAGAAAATGGGATGTCATTAGGCATCATTAAAAATGGATAGTAGCTCACCAAAACAAACCCCTTATTGGTTAGCCTCCAAAGCGAGAAGGTGATGAAGCCACACCGGAGCATATCTGGCGATGTAGGACTGCTGGCGCTGATCACGAGTGACAGTTAAAGTAATTGCCGCTGCCACTTCATTTTGTTTAGAGAGGACGTGTTCTAGACTCCAAGTGTCTATCCTTGCCAGAAGGAAAGTGATATTGTGGCGGATATGGCTGAATGCGGGATTTTGGTTGTCATCATGCTTTGTAAACGCGTCATGTAGGTTGTCGGACGATGTCTCAAAAATTATATTTGAGAAGTGTAAATTATGTAAACACTCGACCGCCCAGAAAAGAGCCCATAAATCCGCTTTAGTTTTTGTACGCATATAGGAGTATGCCCGACAGCTATGCATGATTGTGACCCCATTTCCATTACATAAAACCCACGAAGCACCACTAGGTTGATCGAGTTTCGTCCATGATGATCCAATATTACATTTTAGAAAACCATTGGCCGGCGGTTTCCATCGCACCATTTCCGTATTGGTATTGGTAACCCCCTCCATCTTCACTGTGAAGGTATCAAACCATGATGATTCTGCTTCGTAGGCTTTCCTGGCTACCTCCGTAGCCTCAATAACCTTGGTTTCAAAAGTGAAGGCATTTCAAGCTTTCCAAATTTCCCATAACAACCAGGGAAAGGTATTTCGGGTATGAATATCTGTGATGGAGTTCTTAGCGATCTTGATCAAATGGACAAAATTTAAAAATGTTGAATTCCGAGAGAAACCTCCTGAAGGTACTTGGAAATTCGATTGCTCTCATGTGGCTCGTGCTTTAACACAAGTAAAAAGAACATGACAGATACTTTCAACCCCGTTGCCATAGAAAGAACATGTGGTGTTTATTGGAATACCGCGAGGGGAAAGACGTTGTTTAACAGCCAACGCGCCAGATTAAGCACGCCACATGAAATGTTTAATCTTAGGTGGTGCTTTGGTCTTCCACAACTGTTTTTCAATAGGAGTAAGAGAGTGCTCCGGAGGCTGATCATAATCTATCACAGATTCTAAAAATTTATATACACTCCAAGTCGAATATTGTCCATTTGAAGTGAAACCCCATCTAAACGAATCAAGAAAAGCCACTGCTGGTCTTAGAATCCTCTGAACATCTTGTGACGTAAAAGTTTGATTTAGCAAATTAACATCCCATTGATTGGACCCCTGGAGAAATAAATCAGAGACTTTTAATGTTAAATTAATGTGACTGTTTTCTCGATACATTGGGGGCCGAGGAATAGTATCAATAATCCAATTTTCAGCTCAAACGTTAGTATCAGCCCCATTACCAATATGACGAACCATGCCCTTTTCTCGACCGTGCATGATACTCCGCCATGCAAATGACGGATGTGTCCCCATACCACAGTCCAAAAAAAATCTATTTTTGAAATATTTTCCTTTAAGAATTCGAGAAACCAGAGATTCCGGATTATTCCAAATTCGCCAAGCTTGCTTTCCGAGCAAGGCTTGATTGAAACGACCAATATCATGAAAACCAAGACCACCCTGCTCTTTTGGTTTGCATAACTTTTCCAAAGAAACCCAAGGAATCTCTCTTTTTTTATCCCCACTACTCCACGAAAATTCTATAATCGCTCTTGTAATTCGTTCACAAAGACTTTTTGGTAACTTGAAAACTGACATTGCATATATTGGGAGCGCTAATGCAACCGATTTTATCAAAACTTCCTTGGCCCCCATTGACAAAGTTTTGGAATACCAACCCTGTAGCCGGCCTTCTAATTTCTCTTTGATAAAATTTAAAAGGTCTTTTTTGGATCCTTGCAAACATTCAGGGAGTCCAAGATATGAACCTTCACCTCCTTCCTTCTCTATACCCAAGACTCCTTTTATCACTTGTTTGGTTTCATCTGTTATTTCTTTTCCAAAAATGATGGATGATTTTAAAGGATTAATCATTTGCCCAGACGCATCCCTATAAAGTTTCAGACCTTTCATAATTTCCTCACTATCCCTGATAGAAGCTTCACACAACAATAAGCTATCATCAGCATATAACAAATGGTGAACAGAAGGACTACCGGCAGCCAATTTTATACCATGTAATTTCCCTAATGATTCAGCTCTGTTCAAAACATGGACTAAGGCTTCTGCACATAAAATGAAAAGAAAAGGGGATAAAGGATCTTCTTGACGTATTCCTCTTTCCGGTTTAATAAAACCATGGGATCGTCCATTAAGTAATACCGAGAAAGTGACAGTCGTAATGCATGACATTATCCATACAACCCATTTTCAATCAAATCCCATTCTCTCTAATAGATACTCAAGGAAGTTCCATTCAACCCGATCATAGGCTTTAGACATATCTGTCTTTATAGCCATACTCTCTTTACAAATCTTATCATTTGTTCGTAACCCATGTACTAGTTCATGTGCTATAATGATGTTGTCCGTAATTATTATGACTTCAACAAAGGCCCCTTGTGTTTCTGATATTATGTTTGGCATAATGACCTTCAAACGTTCACATAGAATACGAGAAATTTTTTTATATTGGACACTACAGAGACTAATGGGCCGCATATCCTTCATCTCCGTAGGGTGTAAAATTTTTGGTAGTAGAAATAGCTGTGTATGGTTCCATCCGGGAGGAATGATGGCTGTTTTAAAAAAGCCTTGGACATCTTCAATAATTTTCGGCCCCACAATGTGCCAGTATTTTTGGTAAAAAAACCCGGTAAGTCCATCTTCACCCGGGGGCACTACTACTCTTAATACCAAAGGTTGCCTTTTTGATTTCATCAGAAAAGACCTCCCGGGTTAATAATGTATTCATCTCGGGAGTAACCTTACCTTCAAAATCTTCAAACAAAGTTTCTAGATCACTTGGTTTTGAACTGGTAAACAAATCTCTGAAATATTCAGTAGCAATATGTTCTTTAGACCCTTCAAAGTAATTTTCATTACCAAATATATCCTTAAGCATCAAAATTTTATTTCTAATTTTCTTCCCTTTAACCACATTATGGAATACATTGTATTTCTATCTCCTTCCCGTAACCATTCTTCTCTACTTTTTTGCCTCCAAAAAAATTCCTCTTCCCTATATGCCGCTGCCAACTCCAATCTTAACCGCCTTAATAAACCATAAATAGGGAATTGTTTGGAAATCTCCTTATCCAAATCAATTTGCAGTCGATCTATTCTTGTTTTAGAATTCCAATCGTTTGTTTTTTAAGCTTGGACAATTCCGACCGAGATCGAGCAATACGCTCAAGAACACTGAGATTTGAATTAATATTCTCGGAATCCCATCCTCGAATAATGGCTTCATCTACCCCTCTTTTACCAAAAAAACATGAGAAAATAGTTTTTTAAGCCAAATAGGTTTGGACATTGTCCCCTTAGGTTAAATTCATTCACTTATTGTCCCATTAGGCTAAATATTTTCTAAATGACAATACTACCCTTAAATTATATTGTTTTAATTATTAATTCGTAATTAGGTTAATTATAATTATAACAAATTGTTTTTTTAATAATTAAATATAATATAATTTTAAAAGGGTTACCCGTCGTAACCTCCTCCTCTTCACCACAATCGCCACCGTATCCCCTTCCCCTCAGATTCCTTCCCCAGACGTAACAATCACCGATCGTGTCTTCCTCGATTTCTCCCTATGTCCCACTTACTTCCGCTCCGATCCCTCCGCCACACTCTCCTCCACCACACCTTGCTCCTCCGACGCCATTCCTAGTGGCCGCGTCGTTCTCGGACTATACGGCCGTCATGTTCCCCTCACTGTCTCCACTTTCAAACTCATGTGCACTTCCCCTTCTACCTCTTACAAAAACACTCCCATCCACAAAATCTTCCCCGGCCAGTTTTTCCTCGCCGGAAGACAGAGACTACAGCGAGACACGACGGAGGTTGGTCCTCTCCTGAAGAATTTGCCTCGAAACACCGATGTTGTTAATTCCAAGTCTTTCCTTATCCCTCATGCTCGTCCTGGACTAGTCTCTCTCTGCTTATCTGAAAACGACGATGATGATGAAACCAGACTCGATCATGAGTACAGGATTGTCGAGTTCTTGATCACTACAGGACCTGGTCCTTGTCCGCAGCTTGATGGTGGCAACATTGTCTTTGGAACTGTGCTTGAAGGTAACTTTATTTAACATTATATTAATGTTGAATTTAATTTCAAGAAATAAAAATCTCTGTACAGGGTTAGATGTGGTGACGAGTATAGCTGCAGTGCCACCGTTTAAGCCGTCAGAGAATATTCGACAGTTCAACGATTTTGCAGAGTTTCTGGGAGATGAAAGATCTCAGAACGCAAGATCATTGTGGAACATACCTCTCAAGACTGTTTTCATTAGTGACTGTGGTGAGCTTAAGGTCACTAAGCCTTCTCTCTCTCCATCTCTGCCTTGAGTACATATTTGTATATGTGTGTATCAAGTTTTAAACAAATTCATGTAAACTATGTGATTTCTATCTTACTGATCGGCAATTTTTATATCACAAACAAGGAATAACTAAAATGCTGAGTAATTGATGACTTTTTGGTTAATAACATTGTATCTTGGTAGAACAAATTTAATTATTCCTATGTATCCAACATTTTTTGTAAGTTTTTAAATTAAATACAGTCTTCTACTATATAATTAAACTCATCCAAATTAATTCATATTTTACTACTAAATGTGCCTTTGAATTTTTGTTTTTAAAGAAAATTGAATTTTAAATATGGAAACAAATATTTCCTAATATATTCTTGCTATATTTGCGGATCTAATAATATTTATCCGTAGAATTCAGATTCTACTAAAGGTAGAACTGTGTAAAAAGATATGAAATCAGTTTCTACATGTATTAGAACATTGTGAGAATGTAGATTTTGATTTCTACTGGTTTTAGATTTAAGTAAAAGTTTAGATTTCAATTTCTACTTTTATTAGAACTCTATGATAAGCGTGGAATGTGTATTCCAAACTATTTTAGATTCGTGATATCTCCGTAGAAAACATATTCTGCAGTTCGTAAAAATAGTGAAAAAGTGGATTCCGTATTCTAATCCGTAGTATACAGATTCTAATTTCGGTAGAATAATATATGAAATTAGTATTTACACCTTTTTAAAACAGGAAAAAAATATCACTATATAGATATAGGGGTTTCATCATTATGTACTATTTTTTTTTTTAAAAAGTTGCTTCATAAATCTATTTTTAATAATTTCGGAAATAAGTAAAGGGCATTAGAATCAAAATTGGTAAAAAAATATAATTTAGACTAGAGGGACAATGTCCAAACCTATTTGGTCTAAAAAACAATTTCCCCAAAAAACATTTATCAAAATAAAACCGCCCCTTATGCAAATTACATTGAAAACACATTTTCGATGTTAAAGAAAACCAATTTAGTTCCAATGGCTAACTTTTGTAAATTTTTGCTTAACAAACATGCTTTTTTTTTTAATTATTAAAGCAAAACTATTAGACAGAGTCGTGGTTTGTTATGCAAATAAGGCATGTTGAATTGATTTTGCTTGAACCTGTATATTATCTTTAGGCAACCATGGAGTTGTATACATCATCAGCTTAATAATGCATTTATTCCACGTTAGAGATATGTAATTCAGATAGTGAGAGACGAAATAATAATTTTGTATTCACGTATAGAATGTAATTAACTGTGTTTTCTACAAAAGTTTGTTTTATTTCTGTTTCCTAAAATTAATCTTTCTGTTTCCTATAATTACTCTGCGAGTATAAATTAGATCATTATGATTGGTTTTATAGAAACCTACAAGATATTAAGGGGATGATTGGTTGGACTTTAACTAGTGACTTTAGCTTTATTTTATATTTACAACCATATAAATTACCAATCATGCTTTAACTAGTTTTTAAAGCTAAAGTCAAAAATTTAAAAAAATGGTTGTAGGAGCCTTATTGTCTAAAGCAAAAAAATACTGCTGTAGGATTGCTGTATGAATATCTTTCTTTTTTTCATTTTTTCTCATTTAATTTCTAAAGTTACATTAGATACAGCTACATCCAAAATTTCTACAGACTAATTTCTATAGTAATTTTTTTACAGTTATAATCCAACCAATCGTCCCCTAAGTTTGTAACCTAATCTATTTTTTTGTATATTTATGTCTATATAAAGACCAGTTTATTGGGGTACTGATATATTCCATGTATAACATCCCCTATATATTATTTGAGAATCATTTATAAAGTTGTACCTTAAGTTTGTAAGAATTAAAAATAACTCCAATCCTACGTGGCATAGCTCTTTGGCTTTTATTTCAAATCTCAAGGATTCTAGAGCATATGATATAATGTATAGTTTAAAAATTATATTCTCTAGCAATATAATATTCCGTAGGCTATAGTTGGTTGCATATATCAAATATTTATTGTTTCACATGCTTTCCTTAAATAAAACCTACGGAATTACCTAATGTGATCAAAATATATATATGACAATTAATGATTTTAAACAATAAAGATTTGATAAAAATCTGTATATTTTTTTTCATTTTGTTTATTTCTTTATTATTAAAATAAATTACACAATTACATTAATTATATAATAAAAAACTAGATTTTTTTGTGTATGTTGTATTTCGAATTTTTCAAAATGAGTATAAATTACTAAAACTATTAAAAGTCCCACATAAACTTTTAAGATCAAGGTTTTAATTTTTTTTCTATACTAAAATATAATGATTATAAGACCATATGAAGAAATAATTTTATTTTATATATATATTTAATATCATTTTAATTAAACTATACATCGTATGAAAATATATACTTATATTTTGATATTTGCCTTGAACATATATTGAAAAGTTAATATTTTAATTTTGAAATATTTCATTGTTTTTTTAAATGATTATAAATTATTGAAACTTCTAAACATCTCACATTAAAAAAAAATCGTTGGTGTAAAGTTTTGTTACACAAATATGCAAATAATCATAAAATCATATGAGTAGAAACCGCATTTAATTAATATCCATATTAAAAGTGTGTTATATTACTAGGTTTATATCATTTAAATTTAATTATATATCATATACAATATATAAGATTGATTATTTTGATTTATTTACCCTAATTGTGAATAAACAAGAGTAATAGTTAAATTTATATGCATACGCCAATTTATTACATAATAGTAACTGATTTCTTAGTTATTTCATATATATTTATTATTTTATTATTTATAATATGCAGAAAAATATAAAATACTTATTGTGCATAAAGTACAGATCTTAACCTAAGTATGTATCTCTTTAATTATTTTAAATCTTATGTATTTTCTAAAACAAACGAAATGAGAATAAAATTCAAAATAAATATTTATATCGAGTAATAACCAAAATATAAAAAAACATAGCAAGAGAAAAATGGAAGATAAATAGGACTGACACGTGAACGCAAACTTCTCATAACCATAATTAATTTTTAAATTGTTAAATCATGATATAAAACTGATTTAATTTTTAATTTTTTAATTTTTTTAAATCATTATGGTTATGTTAAATCATGACCATACTTAATTTTAAATTATTTCTTTGTATTTGAAAAACTTAAAGTATTTTTTTTAAAAAATATTTTAAAATTTAACATAATTTTTTATAAATTATTTTTAAAAATAATAATTTGTAAAAAATGTAATTTTCTAATATTATTAGACAGATAAATAAATTATATTAAATTAGTTTTGAAACTTTATATATTTTAAATGCAAATATTTTACTAATTGCTTCTTAAAAAAACATTAGGGAACTTGCTAATACTCTACCAATCAAGCCCAGTAACACTCCATTTATTTTCCATCACTCGAACACTAAAAAGTGAAAAAATATATGAAAACAAATCCATTAAATTCTAAGATTTGATATACATTTCTAATTAAAATTATTTCTGATTCTACGTATAGATAATTATATAAAAATTTCAAAATTCTTAAATTTCAAATACATACAAAAACAATCATATGTAAATTTTAAATTTGTCAATACTAAAATTTTATATTTTAATTACATATATTCACCCTGCACAAGGCGCATGTCTTATCCTAGTTTATTGTATATCAATAGGAATATGCTAAATTTTTTAGTATTTTATTTAATTTTCACCCTGCGAAAGGCACAGGTCCGATCCTAGTCTACTCTATTAAAATAGAGTCACGATAAAAATCTACTATACAAAAGTCTATGTTGGACCATTTCTAGATTATTATTACAAGATAAAAACCTAAGTTTATAAATTAAATTAAAACATATCTACATGTGATTATAAATATAACAATATACAAAATTGCCTATAAAAGAAGAAGTCAACTAATTAAACCCATAAAGTTTAAGTATATATCTTATACAATAAAACTGGTTTTTCTCCCTTCTCATGCTGCCACATCAGCAGAGACCATGGGGTAAAAAAAGACACATCAGCAGTTACTCGGAAAAATCGAGCCGGAAAAATTAAGTCCTTGCGTCTCGGTTTGTAGTAAGTTTATTGGATCGGTTTGCTTAAACAAAATACTTTGGTGGGCTGATCAGATTTATTATGTTATTGAAAGGCCCATTTATTTTTTCGTTCATTCATACCTCCCCTTTCCATCACGTTCCAGAAGGCAAGCCTCTGGTAAGTCGCCACAGAATAGCTCTCTACACACCGTAACGCCTCTTCCTTCAATTAATAACTTATTAAATCTGAGCATTTCATCTTTATCACAATGAAAATAATTTTGTCGACCTTTTCAACTCCCACACAAACCGTCCAAAGTTGGATTATAAATACTTGTGCCTCCAATGATTTCCAACGCAGCTCAAACGATATCGAAGAAAAACTTACACGATTTCTGCTATGGCGAACTCCTACACTCTCCTCGCTAATCTGAAGGCCGGGCGTTGCTCTCACACGGCAGAGGTCCGACTACTCCAGTTTTGGGAGGCGAGAAACACTAACATGAACAGCAGCAGATGTGGTGAATTGATGAGTCTTGATATGTTGATGATTGATGAGAATGTAAGAACATATAATTCTGGTTAAGCCTCTTCATAATTCTGCTGAATTTATTTTTGTTTTTTCTAGATCTGGAAAAGTTTGTTTTTTCCTCTCCAATAAACATACCTTCTTATATCGTTTCCTTTAAGTTTATCCTGGAAATATTTTTTTTCTTAATTGAAGGTATATGTTCATTTTCTGTCAATTATATAAGAAGTTTTTATTTCTATTTTTGAAACAGTCGAGGCTGATTTTAATTCTGCAATATACGTTCCTTTTTAAATTGTTTCCTTTCCTTTATCGGATCATCGAATAATTTATTGATCTTCTGAATAATTTTTTGGTTTGTCTACACTTAATTGGTTACAATATATACTCAATCATATCAAAGGATTGAAT